GGACAGCATATGCAGGAGACACGAATCTCCTCCGTTTGATGGGTCATCTTGCGAACCCATCCCGGAATTCCTTGTCGGATTTGCCCGCTCTGTACCGTTCCTATTTGGATCGGCACACGTCTTGCAATGACCTGCTGTACTATACAGCAGTTGCCGACGACACGAGGCGTGTCGTCGTTCACGATCATGATGACTTGAGATTATGCGTCATGTTCGAATGTCACGATGCCCCATCAGGTGGTCATCGTGGGAGATAAAAAAGAATTACCTCACGGTCAGTCGTGACTATTACTTGCCCCGCCAGTATCCGTTTGTCCGCAAGTACATTCGTTCTTGCGAGGTCATTCAACGGGTAAAGCCTAGTCATTCATCCCGTTCGTCGTTACAACCTCTGCCGGTCCCGGCAGAGTGTTGGGAATGAGTGTCCATGGACTTTGTCTTCGGGTTTCCCGAAGACACCAACAAGAATAATGGTATTCTTGTGTTTGTGAATCGTTTCAGCAAGATGGTCCATCTTGCTGCAGCCCAGAATAGATCAGCGCCCATGGCTGTGCGCGTGTATTCATCGACACTGTGTTTCGACTTCACAGTTTACCCCGTGAGCTCGTATCCGACCGTGACCCTCGGTTCACAGCGGCGTTTTGGCAATCCGGGTTCCGCACATTGGGAACACCGTTGAAGATGTCAACCTCTGATCATCCCGAAACGGATGGCCAGACTGAAAGAGCGAACCGTGTTCTCGAAGAGATCCTTCGAGGATACTTTCACTTCTTTTCACATTGGAGTGAGTTCTTCCCGATGGTTGAGTTTGCCATCAACAACTCCGTGCATGCGTCCACAACGCATACACCGTTCTATGTGAATGGATTACGCCACCCATGTATTCCCGCCCTCATACAGAGTGACTCTGAGTTAAGGGGGGAGGGACTCGCTCGATCAAAAACCATTTTGGCTCTTGCTCATCACGTATCACCGCTCAAGCCGATACATTTGATGCCGATGTCGACATAAAAGAAGTTGATCTTAGCAGTAGCAATGACGCTGCTGCTACATCATACAATGATGACGATGCTGGTATATTCAGCATCGTCAATGATTATCCAGCAAGGAAGAAGACAACCTCGCTGAAGAAGAGAACAATCTCTTAGCAGTGCGCACGAAGCGCACTGAAAGACACAATAACGAGTCAGCAGAGAACTTTCTGCTGACTCGAGAGGCGGTAGTCCGTTTCGTTCAAGACTCCATCGCAAATGCGGTGGACGTTCAGAAACGGAACGCAGACAAGAATGGAAGAGCAAATGTTCTTTCATTTAAAGTTAATGACCTAGTACTACTGTCTAAGGTAAATTTACCTGGACATGCAGTCACTAGTGTCGGCAGTAGTAAACTACTGCCGAAGTACATTGGACCATTTCGTGTGTTGCACCGCAAGGGAAATGCATACACGATCGAATTGCCTCGTAAGATGCGCACGCATCCTACGTTTTACGTGGGGAGGATCAGGCCGTACTGTCAGTACGAGCCTTCTTCTTCCGATGAAGATAGCCTGCACGATCAAGAACATCCATTAAGTTCTTGTGGTCACGGACCATCCACTGAAGTTGGTCCTTCGTCGGAAATAATTGGTCCTTTATGGAGGCGGTCTCGCGACGAGTCTTCTCTAGCTCGTCGCGCAAACGACGCCTCTCGCGTTCACTCTCAAGTGTAGCGAACTCGAATTCCGATCGGTCCTTCTCCCGATCAGCACGAAGACGTCGCACGTCCGACTGCAAGGCTTGCCGTCAGTTGTATTCGTGCTCGACTTCCTCCCTCAGCTCGGTCAGATTACGCTTGTGGTTCCCAAGGTCTCGTGCAGGCCCGGCAGCTAAGCCGGACCTTGTCTTTCCACCGCCACCGGAACCACTGGTGACTTCCCACGGTGGTCAACGCTTTCTTGTGGAGCGTATCATAAACCACCGTAGCGATTTAGAATCAAGGACGAGTTACCACGTCCGGTAAAGTGGGTACCCACCTTCCTTTGACAGCTAGGAACGAGGTTCCCAGCTGAGTGCTGACGTTGAAGGTCTCGTCCACCAGTATGACGAGACTCATCCGACTGGTCCTGTGGCCCATCGGTAAACACGCGCCCTAGGCGCTTGTAGACGGATTGCAAGTTTGCAATCGCGTCCCGCATCTCCTCCGAGATGTGTGCCCTTCCCCGGGGCGAACTTAGGGAATACACGTCCCTAGGTGCACGCTGCGAGCTGTCAACACAACACGCACAAGGGTATCCCCATGTGAGGCAAGGAATGCCTGCCTCAATCGACAAACAGTGCAACCGGTATCTGGCACCGGTTGGCGTTCGCTTTTCGAACCTGAGGCGTGTCGCCTCAAGTTTCTTGAGCCACCCTTCTCGTCCAAAATTCTTTACGTTTTGTACGAACGCGTTCCACGCATCCAAAAGCGAGTTCTTGTCACGCTTTTGGTTGCTGTTGTACCATCGATGTCTAAGGAAGACATCGAGATAAAAATCTTCTTCAGCGCGAAAGTTGCTCGCGCTGGGAGTCAAGCCGTGAAGCTCAGTAGCATCGAATAAGGGTATTCGATGGTGTTGGCTTGTATCGTGAGACAAGCTATTGATGAGATGTTCGGGTAAACGCCACGGCTTCAGCTCATCACGCTTCACGGTGGTACCTTTGTTGGTACTACGGTTGTCAGTATGACGATGGGTTGCACCATCGTCAAGTCGCTCGTGTGAAGGAGCACGAGTTGATCGCGGTGATGAGCAAACATACTCATCATCACTGCCGAACAGACTGTGTTACAACTCATGAGTCCGTTCGTTCGGCAGTGGCCGTGGCGAATACTGAGGCGTCGCCGGTGATCGAGACGCCTCTGCAGCATTGCCCGAGTCATACACGTCTGACTCGCCAGAGTAGATGACCTCAATGTCGGGGTCATCATGCGCACGCGGTGCTGTACCGCGTGCACGTGCAGCATCTCTTGCTGCAGGCGAAGAACGAGCAGCAGAAGACGAATCGTCTGCCGCAGAAGCTGGCACAGGCACAGACTCTGTGTGCCTTGAGTCACTCCGCATAGACATATTAACTATGCGAGGTCAGGTCGAGTTATGAACAGAACTGACCCAACAAGTGCTCCCTGTACCAATAATGACCAACGGGTGGCCGCCATAATTTTTGATAGTCACACAGTGACTATCAGTTAAGGGGGGTGATGTAACGGGGCAGCCCGTTACATGGAAGTGTCACTCTAAAGAAAGTGCCAATAAAGAATATGAAGTTGAATATGCTTTTAACAATATCACCGAAGCGGTGATATTGAAGGGTCGACCAAAGGGTCTGCTCATTGGTTGATATCGTGATGATATCAACCCACCAATCGCCGCAAGACGCGCGCAATGAGTGGTGAGTAGACGTCGTCATATATTCAGTTATATTAGTATAATTAAGTTAAGTCAAACAGAGAGACAGTAGTTAAAAGACTTAATTATATTAATATAACAGTTTTACTTTTAACCTACCTACGCTTCCTCGTTTGCCTCGTGTACCCCTGTCGGGGCACCGATACCCTTGCGTTAAGTTCACGCAAGGGTGTGCCCCGTTACAGGGCACGTGGAAACGGGTATCCAGTCCTGAGGGGCAGACAGGGAGCGAAAATCGCAGAAAACGCCGGGTACCAAACCGATCACCCCCGATAGGCCGCTGGTGCACCTGGACGGTTCCGATCAGAATTACGTTCCGGGCAAGTTCGCTTCGTGGGACCGAGCTTCGCGCTCGGCGACCGGACCTGCGACTCGGAAGCTGACGTAGACTAGCAGGAACTAGGTGGGGGTGACAACCGCTGTCGCCGTGTCCCACACCCTAGGGTCTCTGGATTGTCGCTCCCCTTGCGGTTTGCACGCTACGCTGTCTCCCGTAGCGAACTCAGCGGGAGGAAAACCCCCTCCCCGTGACATGAGCCCTCCATCGGGAGACTTCCCGCCCATATCAAGGAAACAGGTATTCGGGCTCGTTGGAGGTAGTCGTCGCTTGGCCTTGTTGTCCGAAGGCGCAAATTGGGAAGTGTGAGCTGGTATGAAGTCGAGAGAAGCTTGTGGACATAAAAAAGTACAAGATCAGTCGCGTCCGTGCACAAAAGAACCCTTCTTTGACTAGAACGGGCCCGATAGCATTTCATTTTGTCGTAGGCAGACGACACGATCGTAGACATCCGGATGGACAGCCTAGTCTAGTAAACGAGCAACGCTTTACTGGACGACCGACCTGCCAAGCCGCTCCGAATGGCGGGTGATACTGGGTTAGACGGGGACCTACTAACCACTAGTGTTCATGGGAGAATAAAAAAATAAGTTGTGGATTCAAATGGGTGTAAACAGAGCCACTGAGCTTGCAGTCCACCGTCGGTGCCCTACACGACCACGTAGCACGAATTAGTTGCACATGGGCACACACTTATGCCAAGTTTACTATGAACCAAGGCGGGTGAAGTGCATGTAGAAGGTGGGTGTGTACAATTGCGGGTACAATGAAGGCATCGCGTGGTCTCCATTGCCCTTATTTTTACCATGCGTTGAACTTCCGGTGCTGCAATTGCTGAAGAAGCATTCACGTGCCAGCTGATGTTGGTGTAAAGACAGAGCGTGCGGGAGAACAACGTACGAGAGAAAATACGGCGCTGCTCAAAATAAGATTTGGCTTTCTTGATAAAATTGGCCGACGGCTCTATATAAATCGTTCATTTCGAATTCCCCATTTGCCTGCAGAACCCACAGCGCAGCCTCCGCAAAGAAGATGCGTCTCAGCTCTTTCATACTCGTCACTTCGACGGCGGTATCGACATGCACTACCAGTGCACCGGGTCTGGTCCGCTCTTCTCTCGGTGAAGCCAATTCGACGAACAATGCTCCTCTCTTAGACGATGGTCCCGACGACGCCTCTGTCGATCGGTTGGTGAGGGTAGCCACTGAAACTGACGAGAGAACGAATCCAGACATGCAGGCGATGGCCACCAAGATGATTCAGGGCTGGGAAGATATGAAGTCCTTCATGGTCCTCGAGTTCGGTGGTATCAACGGGCATAAGTTAACTCCAGCGAGTTGGAGTCGAGTAATGGACGAGACGAAGCAAATACTGGAGCGTGTTCCGGAGCTGGAACGTAACGCGTACACGACCGAAATCGAAGCGATTTCGAAGACACGCGGCGAACAAGTAGCCACGCTTCGTCGATACCAACTCGCTGAGGACATTGAAAGAACGTACCTTTCCACGACGGCCGTTGACATTATAACATGGATGGATAAGAAACCACAAGGAGATGCTGTCAAAGTCCTGACGCAGAACGGCTTCTTCCAAGAATTTAGCTGTGCAAAAGTGAAGGCGTTGGAGATGTGTTTCAAGCGGTCAGACGATGCGTTCCTGTTCGATACGCTTTCGGAAGGCTTTGGTGGTACCGATAAGTTTGCGTCTCTCCTGTCGTCTGCAAAGCTGGGTCCCTTCACGCGTCATGAAGCCGCGTCATACCAACATAGGCTGCTTGCAAGCTGGCATGTGCAGGGTAGGACAGAAGGCGGTGGTCTGGTGGATCTTCTGAAGCTGAAGACAAATCCCCTGACGTATGAAACCTTGGACACTTTGGTCGAATACATCGCACTAAATGGAGGAAAAGAAAAGCTGACCCCAGATCGGGCCTGTTCAAAAACGATTTTGTATCTCAGAACGTGGTTGGGTGACGGCGCAGTCGTAAGGGCTATCAGGGACGGGAAAATGGATGTTAAATCCGCCACGTGGCATTTGCGTGATAGGTACAATGATAAAGACATCGCCTTGATCAATGATGACGACGAAAGCTACATGAACGAGTTCGAGAACGAGCTGATGGCCCACTTTTTCATCGACAAGCTGCATCCTAGCGCGTTCCAAACGAACCCGTTCCATCATACAGAAGCGTATAGCAACCAGTTCCATGAAGATTACACGGCGTTTTACAACAGGAACAAGGAACTCTGGGGACTTACCCGTCGCTAGTCTAGACAGATAGCATGACAATCCATACACACGTACATACTGTCATAGTTACGTCTTCAACCTTCATCGCCGAACACGCAATTCTAATTTGTAGATGGGTTCACAGAATTGTGCCCGGGATTTAAGAAATTATAGCATCTACCAAACGTCACCAAGAATGAAAGGGAATAGATATCGGTATAGGGCCATAAACGGGTTTGAAATGGCAATTACTACTTTGGCAAAACATCGTAATCGAAACAAAACTGCAAAGCGCATTTTTTTCGTCTAGTCGATGATCAACTGGCCTACTATGGCATTTACAGCGCCGCAAACTCATTGCTAAAATCTTGATCTATAGCTTTTTGTCAGAAGCGTTTACAATATTATCACGTGACATCGCGGGAGCTGTCTCGCCTTATTCAAAACAAGCTTCAAATTGTTGTAACCTGTGCACTGCATACTTTGTGAATCGGTGATCTCGTTCTGTGTAATCGGCACCAAATTAGGCCAAAATATTGGTAACCTCATTATTTTTTATCAATCCCTCACCCTACACAAGAAATATAATAATTTTAATTACTTTTAAGGTACTTTTCATCACTGCTTTATTAGTTCTTTAATATAGGCCAGTAAACTAATTCTATTTTACACCGTCGTAGCTGGACGCGCGAAATAGATGGTGAGCGGGTTGCTACATCTAGCATTATACATTGATATATATTATTAAGCAATATTAAAAGGGGCTCATAAAAAATCTTTGACTATACGCGTTGCAGTTCTACTAGTTTCCTTCTCTTGAGCGTACAAGTCAATATATTTAGCCTTAATCTCACGTACAGTGTACTAGACATTGTAAATGCCTGCCTGTAAAGGGTCAATATAGATACCTTGTAATGGGACAGGTTAAGCTGAGGGTGCTTTGCTTCATCTGATAATAATTTGTGATCAATTTAACATCCTCGTACACTACATTCAACATGTTATGTCGGACGAGGAAGAGGGTAGATTTTACGTAATAAGTATAATTTTGACCAATTGAGTGCCATTGTCTGGGGAGAGCACAAACGAAAATTAAAGAAACGTAGTCGCACCTGCCCCTAAACACTATGTTGTAACTCCAATAGGAGATAGTAAACGACAGACTTGTAATTCTGAACGGAGACGATCAACGTGCAGCAAACTACAACTTTATACAGGTTGATTTTGAAGAGGTAGAGTACATTGTAACCTTCTTTTATCACGCAAGGTTTCTACCAGATGCTGCTGTTGAGAGTATATGGTGGTCAACATTTCAAATTTTCTGATTCATTATCGAGGCCAGACTGCTCCTTTTAGGTGACGCACATATGTCGATTAATATGCTTCATGATTGAGATCTCTAGGTCTTAAGGATCCAATAGTAATTTCTCCATTATGCTATGTTGAGCTAGACGATTTTTTCTAAAACCTGCTCCATCCTCGACAAAGATACGATCATTTTTTTGGACCATCTAGGCTGTTCTGAATGTGCTTTCTTCGTTTTTAAAAGTAAACCTGAACTTCAAAACCTAGGCCTCATACATGTATGATTTTGGGTATTAAAAAAATATCTAGATGAAGGTAGAAGTTTGCCTCATTGAAGCTAGGTAAGGGATATGGCTCGAGTTTCTTGAACACAAGTAAGCTTAGCGTGAGGTGCATCCTTCCGCTTATAATATTTTTTAGTTGCATCATGATATCCAGGTATATAAGGATATCGTAATCACGTCTTTAGTGAAAGTACATACGGATGGTCCCGTCAAGTACCATCTGCTCCGCCTGGCACTGGTTACGCTAGAATGATGTACATCCATGACGTTGCATGTAGAATTCTGCCTGAGACAGGCTCATATCACCGTGAGTTATGTCGTCCTCCTGAACGACTGGAGGACAGATGTGTGATAAAGTCGATCTCACAAAATTGGTTTAGTGAGGGTCGATCTTCCAATCGACTAGACTTGCCGAATCACGGAGGGGTAACTCCGATCCTTGCCTTGTTGTATAGCCTTGTGCTCACCTTGTGTACCCGTCGGTTGGGCTGGCTTGAGCTCTTCGTAATGGCCTTGAGAAGTCTCGATCTCGCTGAGAGGTTAAGTTGAGCGTTCGCTTCCGGTGCGGAAATTTTCACACCACGAACGGGGGTTATGCGATCTTGATCTTGAGTCGCGGCGATCTCTAGTTAAAGATGTCGCGATCTCGATCTAGAATCGCACCGATCTCAATTTGTTTTCGGGATCGGGGTCTTTGCTGTGCGGCAATTTTTACTCAGCAAATAGCAGTCTTGCGTCGATCTTGCCTTGGGATTGGTCCGATCTTGTAACGGGGCAGCCCGTTACATGGAAAATGTCATTTGAGAGATAATGACAATAAATAATATTATGCTGAATATTCTTTTAACAATATCACCGAAGCGGTGATATTGAAGGGTCGACCAAAGGGTCTGCTCATTGGTTGATTTCTTGATGATATCAACCCACCAATCGCCGCAAGACGCGCGCAATGAGTGGTGAGTAGACGTCGTCATATATTCAGTTATATTAGTATAATTAAGTTAAGTCAAACAGAGAGACAGTGGTTAAAGAACTTAATTATATTAATATAACAGTTTTACTTTTCCCTAAGACAGTGATGCCTCTGCATTACCTACCGCTTCCTCGGTTGCCTCGTGTACGCTTGTCGGTGCACGATACCCTTGCGTTAAGTTCACGCAAGGGTGTGCCCCGTTACACCTGGTAGCACTTTGTAGTCCTTCCAGCGACCACCTCCACATCATACACCATAAACATGTTGAATGATAAGGAGACCTTTCACGCCACGCGTGAAGGGTTTACCCATTCGGGTGACATCGAATGGAGTGCGGTATAACGAATGAGTTATACCGCAGGCGAGGTATCTAGTAGCGCGATGTTGGAGTCTCTAGACAGAGACCAACAACATGCTGCTATAGCCAAGTTCATCCAAAGTGAACTTGTCGCCGAAAGGGAGAAAGTAGCCTTGCTTCACCAGCAAGGCCCTCAACAGGCCGAGCAGTTGAGAGAACTCGGTGCTCAACAGACAGAGCTGTTGAGACAGTAGCAGCAGCAATTTCATGCTGCTGTGGGCGGGACGGCACATGCGCGTCGTCCCGAGGTCATGAAGGTTGACATCTCCAAGTACAGAGAAGTCCCGGAGGAATCCCTGTTACTATGGTTTGTCGAACTCGACAGAGCCTTAAGGGCTCGTCGCGTCGAAGATGAGCAAATGAAACTCACATTTGCTCAAACCCACTTGGCAGGACGTGCCAAAACTTGGCCCCTGGGCCTCGAGAGTAGCGACCCACATGTGTTTAGGTCGCTAGATGACTTCAAGGCCCGGCTCAGACAAACGTTTGAGCCACCACGCGCTGAGTTCAGAGCTCGTTCAGAGCTCCTGAAACTCAAGCAGGGTAAGCGTGATGTGCACGCTTACGCTCAACATATACGACTCCTCGCGAGTAGTATAATTGCTAACCCAGTTCATGAACACACGTTGATTACGGTGTTCATGCAAGGGCTCGCAGAAGGGCCCGTCAGGAGCCACCTGTTCCGCCTTAAGCTGAATACGCTTGAAGAAGCGATATCAGCCGCGGAACAGGAAGACTTTAGCATGAGACAGGCTCATGCTAGCTCAAACTCTTACCGTCCACCGAGACGACAAGAGATCGGAGGTCCAGAACCAATGGACCTCTGCTATGTTGAGAGCGAGAGACCTCGCTCTACAAACAACAAGCGATTGCAGAGGTGCAATCGCTGTCAGAAGTTAGGGCACTTCGCATACGAGTGTAGTGCTCCACGCCCAGTACCAAGCAGTACTGAGCGAAATGGACGACCATTTGCCAGAAAGGGCAATGGGCGTGGGTCCAGCGCTGTTGTGAAGCCGCAACAGCAAGACGGACCATCAAAAAATGGTCGGGGTCAGTAGGGGCGGAGCGCCCTACTGATCCAGCAACCTCAAGAGAATTTGCAAATCTCTTGACGAAAGTTGCTCCAGATACGAAATCATTGTGTGTCTCTGCACCTGGTGATGACGTTTCGCTCATCAACTTGAAGTGGAAGCGACGAATGATTTGTCGCTTCGTGCCCTAGTAGACTGTGGGGCGTCGAACAACTTTGTTCGTCGCCAGTCACTAGAGGGTCGTAGGCTCAAGTTCGTTGAGAGCGACATTCCCCTCACGAGGATGACGGTGCATCTTGAAACAGGCGCATCGATTACCGTTGAGAAACGTGTAGTAGGAATCCACTACACGTTGGAGGGCGAACAGTACGATGATGACTTCATCGTACTGGATCTGGATGACAAATTTGATGTCATCCTGGGATTACCTTGGCTCAGAAAGTACGAGCCAAGGGTGAGCTGGAAGCATCGATCCGTGAAGATGCCTGCCGCTTGTTCATCAGATGGCCATCATATGAACATCTTGGAGCGTCCACAAGCGTGTAGATGTTCTGCGAGTAAGTGCGATGGCCTCACTTGCGGTACGGTCGTTAGCACGACTGCACAATATCATAGTGTAGCTGATCACTATACTGTGGAGAAAGCTCCCGGCGGCTGTACAGAAGTACAGGCTGCGCCGAAGGTCCACCACTCAAATAAGTCGAGTGGACCGGGACATGGATGCATGCCTAGCGGGCGACATCCTCGCAAGAGTAAACCGGTTGACCACAAGCGGCAACATGGATATCCTAGGTCGACTAGAGAGTCGACCGTAGAGGATCAATGCCTGACTGTGGTTGCACAGCCACAGACAGAAGACGTCGAGGGAATAAGTACCCACGTTCTTGAGGAAGGAATTCCTCAAGAGTCACTTGCTGAAGTATTAGACCTTCAGCAACCTGCATAACGGAGTACCCAGGAAGTGACCGAAACGTTGAGCGTCTTGGTTAATGACAAATCAAGCTTAGGCGCTTATACGCTTGATCTGATTGTGCCTCCGAAGTCAACTTCGGAGATAACTCAGTTGCCAACGCTAGAACCGAAACGGT